CATATTTATTACAGAAAGTTTCAAGTGTGAAATAAGATTTTTAAGAACTGCCTTTGGCACTTGGCAGGGACTACACTTACATAATAAAAACCTGACCAAATTTAAAAGTGATCTCATGACAAACTCGCAGCCTGGAGTAAGATAGACTACGATTGTTTGGTCTAAAATTACTGCAGCAGGTACTTCTACGAAGTTTTGACTCCTTAATTGGGATCATAACCAGAAACAGAATGAAAATCTTGCACCTCTGCCTTCACTTTGCTCTATCTCCACTGGGTCACTCTTACGTGTAAACATGCTCGAGGACTATCTACCTAGAAACCAGTGATGCCTAACCTCGTTCTTCTACCTTCGATGCTGAGAGCACAAAGAGGCACTGTTGTAACCCTACACTTACCCTGGATTTCAGAACAGCAAAGTCTCCAAGACAGGACTTGACTAACCACTACTGGGATGAGAGCAGTCCTTTTCGGGGCAATGCCCTAGAACAAGTCTTTTAGTAACCAAGTTGGTCCTCTCAGAGATCACCACAAAGACCCTCTCTTCATCCTCCTTGTTCTCTTCTTTCTCCTTTTCTTGTTCATCTTAAAAATTCTTATTTTGTACGTGTGAGTGTTTTGCCTGCAGGTATGTCTGTGTACCACATTCATGTCTGGTGCCCTTGAATACTAGAAAAACATGTTGGATGCCCTGGAACTGGAGTTATGGACAATTCTGAGCTATCTTATGGGTGCTGGGAACTGTACTTGGGGCTTCTGCAAGAGGAACAAGGTCCCTTAGCTGCCAAGTCATCTCTCCAGCTCCAGGGACCACTTACTATGAGACTATTTTGCAGGAATGGAGCTGAAGCAATCAGGGGCAGACCTGGGCTTTAATTATTTATACCTCCTGTCCCTGCAACAATTCTTCCCCTATTTAAACCTAAAATTCATATCAGAATCTCAAGGTAAACTTGGGGCCAATTGAATCAGTTATAATCCTTCCTTTAGTTAAATCTGCTTTCTCTGCTTTTCACTGTGACTTGGCTTTAATTAGTGTGCTGGTATGCGGAACTGAGCCTAGCCTGTTAAGGCTGCAGGAACCAGAGCTTTGGGTGTAAACAGTCCAGACGTAATTCTTTTGGGCACTCAACTTGCTGTAGACAGGAAGTTTAGGGTACCTTTAGTAAAGAGGCATTCTTGTGAATCAGGATAAAAATGGACAAAAATCACACTAAACCTAAACTGAGATGTAATCAGAGGCCAAACCCTACAAAAAAGACTGTAGTAAACTGAGAATTGCCCTGAACTAGGAACTTCTTTTTAAGTATAGCACAAAGTAAGGTAATGTGTAATAATGAATCTTTGTTATTTCATTATTGCATTTGGATATTTGTAGAGCAGATAACTTGTCTTTTCAAGGCCCACAGGACTCTGAATAAGGAAAATGCATCTGGCTTGATGTAGTTTAGGACAACTTATACTTCAGTTATCCTGTTCTATGGTCACATAATATTATAGAAGGGTGAGAACTGTGGGGATTATTAATATTTAATATAAATTAGGATATTTTTGGCTTCAGCCATCCTGCACGGTAATCACACTTGATAGTACAATGAGGTAAAAAAAAAAACTTTGTGGATTCCAGCGTGTATTATTAACATGTCTTATGTAGATTAGGCTATTTTGACTTTCATATCTTGTATTGCACCAGAGGAGTGATATCTGAATCATATCTTTGACCCTGAGAGGAGATACACATCTTCAGCCACTTGGGGGGGTCGTCAGTAGGTAACTATCTAAGCTTGACTCTGGGAGTCTCGAGTCTTAAAAGAACAAATACAACTTCATTGCCCTTCCTGAAGTCACCTACTATCACTGTGTTAATATCAGTGTGTAGTTTTAGCTGTAGCAGGGTTTCTTTTTATGAATTCAGGAGTCCTTGCATTTTGCTCTCAAATTGCAATATCCTCTCATTGGGTTTTTTCCTTTAATAAGTATGTAGTGTCCTTCATCTGATTAGTTTTTGTTTGAAGTCAGTTTATTAGGCATAAAGTAGCCACATCCTCTTGCTTCTTTATTACATTGGCTTAAAATATCTTTTTCTATCCTTTTACTCTGAGGTGATGTCTGTCCTTGATGGTGAGGTGTATTTCTTGGATGCAGTAAAAAAGTAAAACCTGTTTTCTCATGCAACCTGTTAGTTTATGTCTTTTTATTGTCTCTTTACTAATTGGGATCATTAATATTGGGAATTATTAACAAGAAGTGTTTATTAATTCCTGTTATTGTGTTATTATGTCACCCCCTGACTCTTTTGACTAATTATTCTGGGATTGTTTGTTATTTTTATCCTCTTTGGTTTAGTTAACCTCATATTCAGATGAATGTTTTTCTTTTAGTGTTTTTTATAGACCTGAATTGATGGACATAAATTGCTTAAATTTATTTTTAACATAAAATTTTTTCCCTATGATTGTTATTGATATTTTTGTTGGGTATGGTAGACTGAGAAAGCATCTATTGTTTCTTAGAGGTTGTAGAACATCTCTCCAGACATTTCTGGTCTTTCAGAGCCTTCATTAAAAAGTCAATTCTTATCTCAATGGGCCTGGCTTTATATGTGCTTGTTGCTTTATTCATAATAGCCAGTGACAGGAAACAGTCTACATGATCATTAATAGATTGATGGGTGAATAATGAAAATGTAGTACGTTTATAAAATGGAAAATCATATAGCTTTTGAGAATAAAAATGAAATTATGAAATTTTCAGATAAATAGATGGAGCTAAAAAGCAGTCATTCTAGGTGAGGTAATCCCCAAAGACAAATACTTCATGTTTGCTTTTATATGTGGATATTATCTCTTAGGCTTTAGATCTATATGTTTCAATCTGTATCACCACAGTTGTGTAGCTAGTAAGAGACCATGGGGGAGGAGAGCATCTTCAAAGGAATAGGAAATAAAGTATAGTGTTATAAGGAGATAAAGGGAAAAGTCGATTAGGAGGATTAAATGGGGAAGTGAGGTGAGTGGGTAGGGTGAAGAAGGGGATATGGGGGGAACAGTTAACATTTAAAGGCCTTTTGGAAACATACTACTATAGAAGTTTCTCAAAATATATATGAAATGAGAAGAACTTAAATGAAGTCACTATATAATGGGGGAAGAGAATGCCACAACTAGATATCTTATGCCACCAAACAAAACCTCCAATTCCAGGAATGGGTTATATCTTGTTGAGTCATTGTCCAAAGGGTGTTCCGTGGAACCCTTCCTAAACAACATAGACTATTGTCAAGACTATGGGCTACTATCCATAATCTGATGGTAAGACTCTATTGCTGAAGACACAACTGACATATATTATCAAATGAATTGAGCTGAGCTAATTCTAAACTAGAATTTTCACCCCCACTGACTAGCACTCATGGTGGTATAAGATACTTTACATACTATCAGAGGAGCAAGGTAATCATCAGTTCTCCCAGCTACAAATTCCTTGGCCTACAACAGAGAACTGTCTACAAGGTATAGTGGTGTAATAGTGGCACAAATGTTATGGAAGTAATCAATCATTTTTGATGATATTGGTAAAATTACCATAAACCTGAGACTAAATAAATTATGGACCTAGTAGGAAACCTGCTATTCTTATTTTGATAAAGGAACATAGCAATACAATGACTCCTACTGATGTATCACTATACTCATAGAGAGGAGCATCACTCGGTCCTCATCAGACAAGCTTCTTTTTGCAATGGATGGAAATCAGCACAGAGACCCATGATTAGACAATGTGCAGATAGTGAGAAACTTTGAACTCAGCCCTAAATGGGATGTCTTTATCAACTCCCTCCCCTCAAAGCTCAGTGATCTATGCAGAAGAGGAGACAGAAAATAATAAAGAGCCAGAGGTGGTGGATGGCTCTAAGGAAACAGTGTCTTCCAGACACAACAGGTCTGATGCATGTATGATCTCACAGAGACTGGACCAACATGAACAAGAATGGTATAGGTTCAAACTAGACAAAACCACAACACTGAGAGAGAAATGGCATGTGATCCCACCTTAACCAAGAAGCTATTTACAACTTTTACCAATTTATATGTGCTGGGAAAGAAAAAAAATCAATTTTAACAATAGAATTTCATAGTGTATATCATCCACTCCAAGGCAGGCCCCATTCCCAGGAGTCGCTGGCTGACCAGCACAAAACAGACTCTAGTGTGTGTGTGTGTGTGTGTGTGTGTGTGTGTATGTGTGCTCTTTTTGTTTTGTTTTTGGCATTTTTACCTTATTGATTTTATTTTTTTTGTTTGCTTGTATAGTTTTATTTTTTGTTGTTTTTCCAGGTTTTGAGAGAGAGGAAGAGAGACAATTTGAAATTGGATGAGGAGGGAGGTGTTGTCCTTTTGAGGACAACAGACAGTCTTTTTTGTTTTAGAATTAGAAGCCAATTTTGCCTCCATCTGCACACTTATTTGGCCGTCACCTCATTCTTTGCAAATTTATTGAATTTTTGACTTTTTGAAACCAAATACTGCCTCTCTCTTTTCATCTATTAACTTGAATAAAATTTAAAGATGTGCTTGTTTTATATCGGTCATTCACTTTCATGGTATTTAGTCATTTTGTGAATTAATACCAAGTTCAGAATAATAACTTAGCAGCTTACTCTAAGAAGCTGAGCTTTATTTACATCGTGGTGACTGTGGCTGATGTACACTGGCTTGGGATAGAGTTCAGTGTGTTTAGTCAGCTTGGCATGCTGGCATGCATCTGTAACCCCAGCGCTGTGCAGATGGAGGCGAAGGAGGATCAGAAGTTCAAGGTCATCTTTGGCTATTTATTTAGTGTGAAGAAAGGCTGGCTTACACAAAACTGTCTCAACCAAAGCAAAACCAAAAGAGTACCTCTGAGTGTCCAATACATTAGCTGAATTTATTATAAACAAACAACAGGTGCATTTGAATAAAACCGCTTGGGACTTTGTAACTCACTGTTTGCTTCTGCCCATCAGTGCCTCCCACAAACCTTCTTCAGTGCCCCCTTCACTTCCTTGTTCCTTAAAGTATAGATGAGCGGATTCAGCATGGGAGTCACCAAGTTATAGAAGAGAGTGAGAAATTTCCCTTGGTCCTGGGAAGAGCTGTTCCCAGGCTGCATGTACATATAGATGATGCTTCCATAGAACAGGGACACCACGGTGATGTGGGAGCTACAGGTGTTGAAAGCTTTCCATCTTCCCGCAGCCGACTTGATTCTCAGCACGGCGGCAGCTATGTAGCCGTAGGAGACAAGAATCAGCGTGAGGGGCAGCAGGACAATGAGGATGGCGAAGGTGAAAGCCAGCATTTCCACCGCGCGAGCATCCACACAGGCCATCTTGATCAGAGCCGGCATTTCACAAAGGAAATGATTGACCCTGCGGCGGCCGCATCTGGACAGGGTCATTGTTAGTGGTGACATGACGATGGCGTTGATGAGCCCACTCCCCCAGGCCAGAGCCACCAGTCTCACACACAGCTGTGGGTGCATAATGACCATGTAATGCAAAGGTTTGCAAACGGCCGCATAGCGGTCGAACGCCATGACAGACAGTAGGATGCACTCTATTCCCCCAACCGACAGGAAGGAGAAAAGTTGGACCACGCAGCCAGCATAGCTGATGGTCTTGTCTGGGCCCCAGAGGTTGACTAGCATCTGTGGGATGCAGCTGGTACTAAAGCAGAGATCCAGAAATGAGAGATTTGCCAGAAAGAAGTACATAGGGGTGTGAAGCCGGGGGTCCAATATACACACAAGGATTATGGTTGCGTTTCCCAGCACAGCCACGGAGTACAGAGTGAAATTTACTATGAAGAGCACCATCTCCAGGCGAGGGCGATCCGAGAAGCCCACTAAGATGAACCCATACTCGGAGCTGTCGTTTGACTTCTCCATTGCCTTTCTCTCACATCATCAGATCTCTGCAGCTGGTAGGAGCCAAACAAAAAAAGAGTTAATCTCTATTTCCTAAAAGCAGGCAGCAACAGGATCCAGGGAGGCGCATTTGGTGACCGAGTCTAACTATGCCATGTATAGGAGACAACTCTCCACACAGAAGTAATGACTGTTTGTCATTGACACAAATTATTTCTTGTTGGGAAATTTTGACATAATCACCTTTTAATTTGAATTGGAGACAGGGTTTTATGTAGCCCAGGCTGGCCTCATACTTCCTATGTAGCCAATTGACGTTGAACTCCTGACCTTCCTGCCTTCACTTTGCAAGTACTAAGATCACAGGCAAGAACCACAACATCCAGCTACCATCTTTCCTTATGTAAGGTGTAATTACATCTGCCAAGTGTCTCGGGTCTGCCAAATGATATCTCTACCAAGAGTAAACGCATCTTGCAACCTAAGTTGCTAAGGTTAGGGAGCATAGTCTGTCCAGAAATGAAACACCTACTTGGCTGTGTTTTGTCTTCCATTCACCTTTTAGAGTTATCAAAACAATTGTAGAAGTGAAGTGAACATCAAGAGAGATGACTGGAGGGAAAGTGAAGGAGAGTTTAAGAAATAAAGAGGATTAGAGCAGAGTGGTGGTGGTAATCGCAGCACTTGGGAGGCAGAGGTGGGCAGATCTCTGAGTTCGAGGCCGGCCTGGTCTACAGAGCAAGTTCCAGGACAGTCAGAGTTATATAGAGAAACCCTGTTTCAAAAAGAAAGCAAGAAAGAAAGCAATTAGAAAAGAGTAATTTTAAAACACATTGATCTTAATTTATCTAAAAAAAAAAACAGAGAGAGCTTGATTCATAAATAGCACAGTCAAAATTGTATTAAAGACACCAAGATGATGCATGGCAGAGTTAGGCAAGAGTGCAGATATCTGCTGGCTCCAAAAGAAACATGGCTCACACCCTCAGTCTGTCAGCCTTTGGATAACCAGAAAGAGTGACACAATTAGGATTCCTATGTGGACACTACAGCAGATGCAGACTGTTGTGTGAGAAATGCACGTGACCATAGTGTGCTCAATTAGTAAAGCAGGGACAAAATAGCAGCAGAAATTAAGGGTTTTTAGCAGATATGTTGGTTTTCAAATAATCCATGTCTCCAAAAATATGCGTTATTTGAAAATCTTCTAAAACCAATGGTCCTATAGTAAATTAGTTTTTTCACAGACAAATATACCAAAGTAAAAATTAAAAAGTACCGTTCTTTAGTCCTTTAGGCTCACCTGTTTTCAACTTTTCCCAACAAGTCAGGAATAGCATGTATTAATGTTTTTTCTTATTATTATTTTGTTATCTAGGATTTTGTGGTGGTTATGCATTTGATATATGTAGAAAAAGATAGGATTATAAAACTAAAACACCTGGAATTATATAGCAGTGCTTACAAAGACTGAAAATCAAATCTCCAACTCGTTTTCTATGCTTGACAGTTTCTTTCTGAAGATATATAACGACCATTTGACTACAATGATAGGAATAATGGTCTAACACTGCCTCAGAGAAAATAGACAATGATGCAACCACCTAGGCTAGTTGAATTACAGAGTAAACAGGCAACTCAGTAGGAAACAGCATTAGTATCTATCCTCTGTCTAGCTGCCATTTAGGCCAAGTACCCAGCCTTCCATGGGCTCTAGGAGCTGTCAACCAAAGCCCTACAGTGAGGACTTCCTAAAGACCCCAGAAAGTAAACAAGGTGGATGGAAATACTCTTATAGCCCAAGAAAGCAGGGCTAATCTTTCAGCATCAAGATGATGCCTACAAGTCGGTGTAACCTGGTTTCTTGACAACACCATGGGGACCGTTCCCTCCTTTGGGTAACTAATTGGTGCTGCACATGAAAATAGAAGAGTAAGCTCCTGTGGGGAGATGATGAAACCACATCTGGCAGGAGTCATAACCCAGGTTAAGCTTTTAGTTTCCATTTGGAGCCAGAGGTGCTCATATCCACAAGATTTGATGATTTCTATGGTAAAACACTCTTGCTGAATGGTGGGGCAAACCCGTCATTAGTAGTCAGGGCTCTGGCATACCTCCAAAGCCTTGCCCTGAATGATTGAGATGACACAGTTTTCTGAGGAGAGAATTTCAAATTCACATTTATCTTTATTTTAATATGATTTTAATTGATAATGCAAGAGTAGACTATTTTAATAGTCTAAATATTTTAATAGTACTATTAGTAGTATTAGTAAAATACTAATTTTAATAGTCTAAGCTAGTCTAAAAATTTTCCATTTTTATATGAAAATAGATTTTCAAAAGATATTCCAAGTAGACAAGTCATTGTCACTTGTCTTCTAGGTTTTATTTCAGTCTGGATTGATAAAGTTACACAAACACAACACATAGAAAATGAGTACAAATAATTTGATTAGCTGAAATTCTTTAACTTACATTTAAAGATTGTGTGTGTGTGTGTGTGTGTGTGTGTGTGTGTGCACACAGGTGGCCCTGGAGGCCAGAAGATGGTCCTATTGGATCCTCTAGAACTGGAGCTATTGGTGTTGTAAGCTGCTAGATGTGGGTGCTGGGAACTGAATTCTGGAACTCTGGAAGAACAAGCGTTCTTAAACTGCCGAGCCATCGCTCCAGCTCTTTAATCTGTATTTAAAAAAAAAAAACAAATTTCCCTTTTTAAGGGAAAACATTAGTTACTCATTGGATGAGATAAAATTTTTCCCCTCTCAGAAATTCAAAATGATACCTGTCTCGATCAGTATAATTAAAGGCTAGACTGAGTCCTTGAACTTGGTGCGTAGCTGAAGAAGAAACTACAGGCACACTCACTGATGCTCAGTATTCGTGTTTGCTGGTTTCTTTTAATCCGAGGTTATCTGAAACGCAAGGCAGGCCCAGAAACCTCATTTCATAAGTAGAGTGTGTATATAAATTATTAAGTTTAAAATAGTATCATTTTATTACAAATATGTAAGAATCAAGTATGTTGACCAATGAGCAAATTGCAATGACTTAAAATTTTCTCATAAATCCTAATCCTTTCTGAAAACAGTGAAAATTATTACAACAAATATGTGGAACAGACAGCAAATATTTTTAATAATCAAAGAACTTTTCTAATTTTCTTTCTTTCTCTCTCTCTTTCTTTCTTTCTTTCTTTCTTTCTTTCTTTCTTTCTTTCTTTCTTTCTTCTTTTTCTCTTCTTCTTCTCCTTCTCCCCCCCCCTCCTCCTTCTCCTTCTTTTTTGAGACAGGGGCTCATGTACTAGACTGATGAAGATGACACTAGCCAGACATGATGACCATACCTGTAATCCCAGCTTTTGGAATATTGAAGCAGGAGAACCAAGAGTTCAAAGTCATTCTCAGTTACACATTAGCTTGTGGTACATGAGACCCTGTTTCAACAAAATCAAACAAAACAAAAAGATCACATTTTTTTCTGGAAAAGAAAATGTATGAAGAATAATGAGATACAACTTCCTGAAATTTAACTTGTAAAAATTTCAACTTTATGAATAGTTAGATACAAATCAACATAGTGTATAAGTTTAAAAAGACACACTCACACACATGACTTAGCTATATAAGAGGAAATGGATGAAATGCCTATTAATTAAATAATAATTAAGTAAATGTTTGTATTGCTGCAAATAAGTAATGTGGTATATGTATGTTGAACTAAATATCCTCAAATTATCTTAAATATACATTAGGTTATGGTAATTATACTACATTAACATTAATAAACACTTAAAATATTACATAGTACAATATAATATATGTTAAAGTTGAAAAATGTTTCATAATTTCATATATACATATGTTGCAGTCCTGTTTCTAACATGGAAACTGAGCTATAGCTCAGTCAGTAGAGTGCTTGCCTTGGTTTGATCCCAGCACTATATAAACTGGCTGTGGTCAGCACGCTAGTAATTCCAGCACTCCAGAGGTGCAGGCAGGAGAAACCAAAGTTCAAATCCATTCATGGCCACAAAGGGTCACCCTAGGCTACATTAAACCCCATCTCAAAACAAAACAAAACTATCAAAGGCGTTTAAGGGCCAGCCTTAAAAGTCTTCTCTCAGGGTTCAAAGAGGACGCTACGATAAACAAAGGAACAAAAATCTAAGGGCTATAGAAAAAGAATCTTCTCACAACACGTTCTTTCTATTCTTGTGCTCTTTACCGTCCTTCTGTTCACTGTTCTCTATTCTTCTGTTTCTACACTAATAATCCTGTCCTACTTCTAATCCCTCATAACTTCTTCTTCCTTGGTCTTGTCTCTCAAAAATCTCCTCCTCCACCCCCAAGGCTTGAAGCAAAAAGAGTTTCAAGAATTGGTCAGAAGCACATTCCCAGGCTAAGTGATAAGGACAGGGCCATTTCCATGACAACATAAGGTCCTAAGGCCAAAGGAGCAAACCCATGACCAGACAAGGGAGGCACAATGCCCAATGATAATTTTGAGACACAGATCCATTGTAGTAGACTGGCGAGTGGAGAATTGGTGTGCTTTTCTCAGTAACCTTGGCTGGACATCTGTGACTCTGACCTTGTACATAGCTGTAAAGTTTCAAACCTATGATCTGTTTACAAAAGGCCTTTAGTCTAGTTTGAACATGCTCTGAGGTGAAAATGAGCAAATTGTGTTCAGTTAGTCTGAGCAAAAGAACAATCAGACTTTTAAATGTCTACAGACCTTGTGGAACAAACAGATCCAGTTATGAAGCATGTCACAGTACACATCCTATGTATCAAAACTATATAGCTGAATGAAAGTCACATTCTGACCATCCACAAATATATGTGCCCAGTAAACAATTAACACATTGTATGCTGTGGGAAAAATCCCCTAGGTGTAATGTGAGGGAACTCTTCACACAAGAAATCTGCAGCAAGGGTCGTGCTTCTTTATAGCCTTGCTAAAGAAGGTCTATCTCCATGGGATGTGTATCTCTGAGGGGTTGACCTCTAAAGTGCTTGCTGAGTTCTCACTGCAGAGTTCTGTGGTCCATAGCACAAAACCAAGACCAAAGAGAAACTACCTTGGTTTACATAAATATGTAAAGTTAACTGGAGTTTGAAAAAAGTGGATTGTGAAAATGAAATTTGTGTGTGTGTGTGTGTGTGTGTGTGTGTGTGTGTGTGTAGGTCAGAGACAACACGAGTCACTTCTCATCTTCTACCATTTAGGTCCCAGGACTTGAACTTAAATCATCAGGCTTGGTGGCAAACACCTTTACCCTCTGAGCCATCTTGCCATTCCCAAAAAATGGATTTCCAATTTCTACCTAATTTTGGACTAGAAGTCCAATCATCAGGGAAGAGTTGCTCCAGACACGGGCGCAACTGATGCAAAAGCAAGAGGATTTTTATTCTGTCATGACAGGGTCCTTCAGGTTCGGGATATGAAGGACATCGATAGCTGTTACAGCCCATCTTTTAAAGCAAAAAGCCACAGACACAAGGGGGGAACCTGTAGGTTGTTTCCAACTTATTGGATTGGCTCATTCAAAGGGTTACTAGCAATGATTGGTCTATTCCAGGGCAGGAGAATAGTTGCGTGGTCAGGTGATAAGGGAGCATCTCTGTGGTTTTCCTGATCTTATTCTAGTGACTAAATCAATACACCCGGAACTGAGTCAACATCTGTGGGTTGTCTTTGCCTCAATTCCCAGAATGGAGTTATGTTTGAAGATTATTCACAAGGACACAGGAGGATAAGCAGTCCAGCATGTGTGTGTGTGGGCGACTGTCCCTTTTCCAAGATAGAGTGAGTGTAAAGTTTTAGAAAAAATGTCTTAGGGTTGAGGGGGTTTAGAAATGGATTTAGAGTCTTTCACTAATATCTTTCCATTTAAAATGCTAATATATCACCACATAAACACATAATATATAAGTATTGCATAATGTTGCTTCAATATTTAAAAGATAAATAAGAGTTTGAAAGTCAGTACAAATAATTTGGTATAGTGGTATATTATTTGTGTTTTAATAAACAAAGCTTGCTTGAAGATCAAAAAAGCAAAGCAGCCAACCACTAGAGAGATCTTTTGCCTTTACCACATCTTCGGATCAAAAGTATGAGATCCTGTCTCCACAACTCCTCAGATTCCACACTCCAGTCAGTTCCCGTCTTTTCCCCTTTATTTTCCTCTCACTGTTTCCACCTCCCTAGTGACGGAATTAAAGGTATGCGACTCCCAAACACTGGGATTAAAAGTGTGAGTCACCACCACCTGGATCTCTTTCTGGATTGATTTTGTGTAGCCCAGCATAGCCTTGAACTCACAGAGATCCACCTGCCTCTGTCTCCAGAGTCCTGGGATTAAAGGTGTGGCAGTGTGACTGCTTTGCCTTCAGGCAGGCTTTATTTATTAAAACACAAATAATATGCCACTGTAATTATGTGTACTGTGCAGATTTGACTCTGATTGTACATATCTTTGCATCTTGTTCCTAAAACTAACAAACTATTTCATGCTTGATAGACCCCGTGATTCTACATTTGTTGAGGAAACAGGCTTATACAGATTCAGAGCTCTGACTGACATGAACAGATCCCATAATAAAAGGGATAGCCCAATCATCTCAGAGCACCTAGGAATTCAGTAGGAATTAAATAGTGCTGGTATTTTCACATATTGTCTGTTTGGTAGAGAAAAAGCTGAAGTTAAATAAAAAACAAACAAAAAAAAAACAAAAATAAAAACTGGAGTGCTGATATTTGTTGGGTTCTTTTCCAAAACAAAACAAAACCACAACTTCCATTAGTCTATATAACACTTTAATTTGTAGGTTCAAGTGCATTCAATAATCACAGTACTACCAATTATTTTCATTCAAGCCACTTGCTTGTTAATGAAGAGGCTTAAGATTCTTTTGGCATTTATCAAAGCAATGGGGTGAATAAATCTGGAAGAAGACTAGATATACCAGTACATTATTTTCTACTTTCAATAACTCGTGTGCTTTCCTCTAAACATCTGGGAAACCTTTGGGGATTCTTGCTGCTGAAGTCAGGGGGTAATATTTAAAATGAGAGCAGGCATGATGAGAGAGGGTGATTTCCAACTTCTGAAGTTCTTTACAGAAGTTGCAAAGAACGAGCCCTTTGGGATCTTGTTATAGTTGTTAGAGGAGATAATGACAAATGTGTTTCCCCAAGTCCACAGGGATCCAGCTCTTGTAAGAGTGAAACTTGTTAGTACAGTCTTTCATAATGCGTGCAACTATTAAAAGTTTCAGAAGTTTCATAATAATTCACAAAGTGAAGTTGTCTCCAGGGTTATCTTACTCCAGGGTTATCTTAGAAGAAGCAGGCAATTATTCAGAGAGCTCAGTGAGTTCGCTCCTGTCACATTTTTCCCTTTACAGTTGCCTCTCTGCTGCTCTGTAGCCCTGGAGACTTACTTATGATGTGTTACACCACTAAACCTCAAACTTTCTCATTGTAACTGGAATAAGCATTCTTTCCCATGCAGCAGGGATTTCATTGGTCAGGGACTTACTGTAAGTGCCTACGAGACTTATTCTCATAGTGACCTTACTTTGTTTATATTTCCCTTCAAAAATAATTCCCTTTAAAAATTTGTATTGTAATAATGCCCTGTGAATGCAATAATTATTTACCAACCACATTTTCAGTGAAAATACTTGGTCCACATGTGTTATTTATCTACCCTTAAAGATATCGCAATCCAAAAAAGAAAGAACTAGGTTGTTACAACATTGTGTCAAAAACTAGCATGTTCCCAATAGACAAAAAGATAAACATTGAGCTACTTATGCTATTGTGTTTGCTAACTTCTTATTGTTTTTCTACTTGATATTTTCACATTCTATTACAATAGTGTTTGTTGATGAATTTCTAATCTTCACCAAAATGCTAACACAAGCAATCCCTCAAAATCACTGATTTTATTATTGTAAAAGAGATTTAAAAGTGATGGTATGCATATACATGATTTGTTTAATTTTATTTTGGAAAATGCTTGGATAATTTTTTGATAAAGCAGAGACTGCAGTGAAATGCTGTCCTTTGAGCTAACTCGCTTGATGAAGCAGATTCTAAGGCAAATATTACAGCACCAACTTGGTGTTGCCACAACATGGTAATGATGAATATTTGATTTCTTTTTCATGTATCTTCATTTCCCATGAACAAACACTTCTTACCTTACTGGTTATTATGTGACAGTAGCTTCATAAATTAATAAATACATATAGGTTACACATACATATTATATATATATGTTATATAATAAAATGAAAGACTCACATTTACATGGAACATTGATGTTCCACGCCCACAGAAAAACATATAACCAAGGAATATGCACAAGGTTTGGTGTGGTGGCGTATATCTTTAATCCTAGCTCTTG